ATACCAAAAAAGTGCTCAAAATAAGATTAAATAAATTATAGCACATCTCTAAAGTGGACTACTTTATAGGCATTTAAAAAGTATGAGGTAAGGCCAGGCATGGTGGCTTGCACCTGTAATCCCAGCACTTTGGGAGGACAAGGTGGGAGGATTGCTTAAGGCCAGGAGTTCAATACCAGCCTGGGCAACATAGCAAAAGCCCATCTCTACAAAAAGTAAGAAAAATTAGCAGGGCATGGTAGCACATGCCTGTAGTCCCAGCTACTCAGAGGCTGACGCAGGAGGATTGCTTGAGCCTAGGAGTTTGAGGCTGCAGTGAGCTATGATTGTGCTACTGCTCTCCAGCCTGGGAAACAGAGCAAGGCCCTGTTTCTAAAAAATAAACAAACAAATGTGAATCTGTATTGCTTGATATGGGAGTATATCCAAGATATACAGCTTATAAAACAATATATACATAATATGGACCCATTTTCATAAAATTGTATGTGTGTGTGTTTGTGTATATAACAGGATCATTTTGCTGAGTGCCTTAATTATCTCAAAATTGTCCCCAAAACAGAAAATCTCAACGTGGAAGTGTTTCCAACCTATTTTCAATGGCTCAACAGAGTTATCCATGCTTTTGGCTTTTTTCATTTCTATGTTGCATTATCCTGAGTATGTTAGCCTTTCATTCTCAGACTTGTCACTTCATGGGTTGTAAGGATGGGCTGCCACATGTCAGAACCATTTCCAGCCCATCAGTCTCTTGGTATTTTGGTATCTCCATCAGCATGTATGTCCACTAGCTCTGTTCAGCTCACCAGTGTCCCACGGCCTTGCTTCTAGGCCTTTCTTGCTTTACCCATTCCCAGTCAGTTCTTCCCTGCCCTCTTTAATCCCTACCTTATCCTGCAACACTGAGTCTTAAAATTCTATCTTTGCTGGACTCCTGTGCAGTTCCTTATTTGGAGTTGATGCTTAACCCATGGGGAATGCTGATTAATAAAAGATTCAATTCTAAAGGAACTTTTCTTACCCTTTTTAATAAAAGATGTTGGAAAGGAAAAAAGTTAAATCACTGCTATGGCAGACGTTGTAAGTTGCCTACCAAACCACCATTTCTCTTCTCTTCCTTAATTAATGAGATGACTTTATTAGAGTGCCAAACAACTGAAGAAATGTGAGCTCCTTCCATTACCCTAGAAGAAATTCTGCTGGCCTGTGAATAATAATGTTGTTAAGGTGGTCATGTGGCCAAGGGACCATCAGCTAGGGAGGATTCTACAGTATGTTTTACCCAGATGGCAAAATACATGCTTGTAAAATATAGAGTTTTTCTTGGATTACTGTTCAAGATGGTGGACATGGCATATAATTTGTCTATTATTCTTTCTTAAACACCACAGAAATAAAAATTGTAGAGGTAGAGAAAACAAGGAATAAGTAAAAGAGTAAAGATATGTGTGTTTGTATGCATGCACTTACGTGAGTAGAAGAACGTAGATGGAGAAGGGGAGAGAAGCAAATAAAATTTTAACAATTTCTTGGGAAACAAAGCAAATAATAGTGATTTGACTAGTAATAACAGCCTAAAAAAATTTAGTGTAGAAGCTATAAATGATTTAGTTGGGGGCATGGCAGGGGGTGGAGGTAAGAATAAAGGCTAAAAATGGAATGACATTCTAAATATGGTACAATTGAATCAATCACCACACACAGTTTCCTCCATCATCAACACTAAGAGCAGGCACTAGACAAAAACAGAAAGCAAAAAAGACCCCCAAAATGTTCTCTAAATTAATTGAATAGGTAATACAGAGAAAGTGAAAACTTATATGTTGATGACACAGAGAAAAACTATTTTCATTCTGGCATTCAGGGCCAGCATCCTGACAGTCAGTGAGTAGCCATTGCTAAAGTGAAACCTGATATTTGGCATTCCTAGCC